TCTATTATTATTCTGCAATGAACGCCTTTGCATTTCGTTGCTGTATGCAGGCTTTTGCGAAGGCTTTCGGGGGAAATCCATTCATTTTGATGTTTAATTGCGTGTATTTCGTTTTTTTCCACGGTGATGCCCCACTTGTTAGATTTCCATACGCGCCTTGTGAATTGGGTCCTTACAATCTACAATTATCAAAAATGTTTCCGTCACGGTTGTCAAATTACAGCCAGAAGATTTGAGGCTGTACATCAAAAATATTCGCCGTGAAAGCTATTTTTTCGTTCTCCTATAGGACACAATCAACCGTTTCAAGAGATGAAAGCAAAATGATTTACGAGTCTCTGTACGCCTGCAAAGAACGCATATGCAGCATCAAGCCTGCAGAGCCTGGTTTTGTGGTAGACTTCCGAAACAGTCGAACATATTCTCTATTTTTTTTGCAAAGTCACACTAAACATTCGGAGACTTCCATTTAACATTCGACGTCAGGAAGGGATTCATGTTGTTTATAAAATTCAACTTAAACAGTGCTAGTATGCACAATTGTGATTTATTAATCCTCGATTTGTGTAAATAATTACAAATACATAACTACACAAAATGTTTAAATTTATGTTGATGTTTACAGATGAACCATATAACGAAACCAAATTTTGTGAAATGTACAAGTGACGTTAGCTTATAGGTAACCATCACGATGGCAGGATATTATTGTATTATGTTAATATCTAAAAAGCCGATATCACCTCAAGCCATGGGGAAGTCACTAATTGAGTTTAAAACGCCGACTTATCGATCTTCAATACGACAGGCGATGTCATACTATGTTCCAAGAGAATCCTATTCCCGTGTCGCTAATTCGGTTTCAACCTTAGCCATGGCAACACGCAAATCCGGGCCTCTTAACTATGTCTGTAACAAAACAGCAATCTCTGCCGTCCCCAGGCACAGCAAAAGCCCTAATGCCTTGGAGCATATTCCAGGGTCATCAGTGACAGGGGTGTTTATCTTCCGGTGCCTCACCACAGAGGTTATGCAAGACAGCCTAAAACGCTTTTAATATTTCCTGAGAAAAAATATAGCGGCTGAAAAAAACTCATTGAGTACTTTATATGTTTTTCCACTTCGACTTTGCCGCATTTTTAAGTTTTTGCGACAAGAATGATGTTTGTTTTTAGCAAAGGCTATCCTGTTAAAATTGAAGAGGCCCTCTTTACCAATTATTACTTTTACACACTTGTTACGTTTGCATAAATTGTAAGATATTTTGCGCTGTTAAATCAGCGCAAGAGGGTCTATACGCTTTTCTAAAAATCAAAGCTGATTGCATTTTTGAGACATGTTAATTTGTAAATAGTTGCGTTTCAAAATATGGATCTACCGAAAACTAACTGGAGGTAGGAGTACAATCAGCTGATGTTACTCGATGTTGTCCTGTCCAACTCTGACTGAAATAAATATATGATTGTGCTGATTTCGTTCAGTAAATCTGCATTTATTTTGCATCGTTCGAAACATTTTACGTGGATAATTAGCACAGTGGTCTTTTAACCAAACTCGAGGCTCTGTGGTATTAGAGTGAAGAATATCCCAGCGATTGGGCAACTTTTAATATGATGTTCAGTTTGTCATCTTCATTTAGGGCGACCAGTACGTTATGGCTTGCTTTCATTTACTTTTGTACACAAGCATTTGGAAATATTGCATATGCGCTAAAATATGTAAATCATTAGTTAATGTAATGTGATATGCTTAGTTGCGCATTCACAGGCTTTTTTAAAGCCGGAAGATATTCGATTACAATGGTTAATAAAGTAACAGTCAGCCTATACTAACATTTTGTCACAAGTGTGTTTAAAAAGCAATCTTGAATTTACAGTATTATGGTTATCAACAAGAAGGCAAATGTCTAATCTTCTGAATCCATAATCGTTAAACTGGTAAGAACATACCGAATTTGACGATGCATAAACAATTATTAGATGGGCAAAACATATTTGTGCATGGTAAACTGGTCGATATAGAGAGAAAGGTTTTGCATTGATTCCTCGTGGAAGTCGAAAATAAAGATGAGTAATAACCACGCGCAAGACATCATTTTGGTTCATCGCTCAGTTAGCGTTTTTAAAGGCATTTTGCAACATGAGAACCAGTGTCTAGCAGGTTTTTGATAACGAGCAGCATTTTAAATGCGGAAACAATTGGTCTTTATATAGAAAACAGCAAAAAATAAACTGAGTTTATATACGCTTATTTTGAACGAACACGTATGTAAGGGCAAAAACTCGGTGCCGCCACCAGCCCATGGACGTAAGACATATAAAAACCACGAAGAGTACTGCTAACAATATCCTCCATAAAACTTAAGTATGATACAGCACGAAGAGCATCCTGATATTCTTGAGAGATAAGCACATGAGTTGATTTGTCTGGTATCTGCAGACGTTTACTCTCAAAATTACTTGATTTATTTTGTGTTTATCTAACTCCCTTCTTTTGCAAATTTGCTAATGCTGTCGACAAAACAGCCAGTTCAGTATTTTCCCAGTTTTCTCAAAGCCGCATTTAATCTCATTAAAATAAATATGGAGGCAGATGTTTGTATGTAACTCCAAAATGCCTAATAGCAATTAAGCTTGGCGCGAGGCACGTGTTATAAAACCCCTAATGCATTCATCTACTCAATGGGCTAACTTACTGTGCAGCATTCAGTATTGCGGAAACAAAGAACTGTTAAAAGACCACATAAAACCCACTAAAGCAATATCATGCTAATATTTCTGTATAAATCCTGTAACTCACTGGCATTTAAAATAAATTTTTGCCTTATGAAGTGGGAAAACGCAAATGAGCATGTTTGAACTTCAACCAAGCGCAGCTTTTCATTGTTACTGCACAAAGGTTGGACAGTTTTTCACTGTCTAAGTGGTAACATCAGAAAAATGTCCTTATCAGTTCTATACTTATATAATAGTAAAATCGCATATGCTTCTTCTTAAAATTGGCCTGAATGTCTGGTTAAAAAGTTTATTATTTTAAGTTAGGGGGTCCTTCTAATGTACCTGAACGGATTGAATTTTAATGTTAGTAACTAATAAATATACTTTACGTTATTTAGTTCTGCTTGTCATGCCATTCATATTTATTGGCAAATTTTGAATAATTTTATTGACCCATCTGTGATAAACTCGGCGGTTATCTGGGATTTCAACCCACGACAGTAAGCGGAAGGCTTAAGTACAGCCAACGTTGTAAACAACTTAGCCACAAGCCGCCGCCGGACGACAGTTGTGTCAAGTTACACGCCCTACCTTCTGTGATGTCTGGAATCCACCAAATCAGATACAGTATGTTGACTGTCCAAGCAGGATTTCCTAAGTAATTCGCATCGGATCCACCAGATATCTACCATGCTTATGTAATGTATAGATCTTTTGTCATATTTTGAATAATTTACATTTGCCAAAGCTATCTGTGACACGGATGTTTATCTTCCTATACCTTATCTCAGTCATAATGTACGGCAGCTTAAAATGCCTGAGATATTTTCCGAGAAATGAAGTGAAGGGCTAAAACAAGAAACCATAAAGTGTGTACGAATTTGGAAACATGAGACTTCACATTGAATGTAGCAAAATAACAAAGAAAATTTATTTATTATTACGGTGGACGAACGGACGTGTATGTGATGCCAAATGTTTAGGTGTCGAAATGTGTCTGAGGAATGAAGAATTATTCTAAATTCAAACTGCGAAAATGACCGGAAATGAGTTTCAAGATAATTAAGATGGTTTTGAGTATAATACCACATGCAAGGCATTCTATTTTATCTGGTATACCTAGACGTTTGCCCTGAAAATTACTCTCCATATTCTGCTTTCGTCTAACTATTCCTTGCCTTTGCACATTTGCTGATGTTGTAGACAAAACAGCCATTTTTGCATTTTCTGCAGATTTCTATATGTAGCGTCCGACTGCATTGAAATATGTGGATGCTTATTTTTGTAATTCAAGAGCGGTAAAAACGCCGCAATAGTTAATAAACATTTAACAGATTTGCGTACATACTGAACTCACTTACAAAGTCACATTATATTTTGCAGAAACAAAGTACAGTTAGAAACACAAATCTAAACCCATCGAATCCTTATTATGTTAATATTTCCGTGCAAATCGTATAAGCGGCTGGCTAACCAAACGGAAAACTGTGTATTATAAAGTGAAAAAAGCGAAAAAGCAAGCATGATCTTCAACTTCATGCGAATTATCATTGTTATTTCACAAAAGTCGGATGATTTTCATTTCCGGCTTGAAGTCCCTAGAAAAAAGTTAAGTCTGTTGGACAATTGTTCGTTCTACTGTTCAAAAGTAGTTTGCAATACACCAATGGAAAACCATTAGTATAAACAAAATGTAGTATACGGAAATACCCTAACGTAATTAATTCACGATGTTAAATAAATAATGAAAATATTCTGCGTAATTTTGATCATTCAAGTTACGTTATGGCACACGTCATGTCAGGTTTCTAGTGATATATTTTTCCTATTAGTTCAAAAAGCTCCTTTTACCGCTTGCTAACGTTAACAGTTTCTCGTAAGCTGTCAATGCTCCAAAATTTAGGAAATTGATTTTAAATGAAGAATTAGATAAAATAAAAATCTCTTTGGTTTGCCGCCACAGTATGATTGCTAAAACCTCCGCCTCTCCTTTTTTAAATATCCACTTACTTTTCTATGCTCGATAAGGTTTTTTTAAGTGCCAGCGGTGTGTTTCAAACTGAAAAGTTCCTGGAGATATGCTGCTTCGAGGTTAGACCCATTGCTTCACTCCCTAACAATTCTCATGCGTGCAAAAAAATTCCAGGATCTGCTTTGTATCCGCTAATTTTGTTTATGACATATGCAAAAAAGACCCAATTAGAAAGTTTCAACTGATTCTAGGCACCACTGCTGGCTTTATATAAGATAGCGTCCAGATACCCATAGTGAGCCTTTAAGAGCATGTATATCAAAGGCATTTTGCACGAACCTCTTGTGTGCATCATCCTTTGCTCTTTGCTGTAAGTATTTCAGAGTAATGAAATTGAAGTACGATTTCGCCCGAGATAAGAAATTTCGACAGCCATTCTTGAGCCCTGTTTAATCTGAGGATATTAAGCAACTTGAACTAAACTGAATGTGACAGCATAGTTAGTAAAACAAGGTGTTTAAACGCGTTCGCGAAACAACGAATCAACAGGTTCTCTCATAGCCAGAGCACTTTTTTTAAATTTCTTCCTACATGTGATGATGCATATTAACGATTAAAACCATGTGATCTCTGCAGAATAAGAGCTGAAAATATTTGCGCTTGGGAAATCAATGCACTAAATTCATCGAAAGAGTATTCGAGTATTCGGCTCGCCGTTCCGGAGGACGCTGACGTGAGTACACATTACTGATTATTAATCTGTTTTACAAAATCCTTATGTATGAAATGATGAATCCGAAAACTTTGACGCATTGGCCCACATTACTCACCGTAAACTGATTTACTGTTTATTTACACCGGAATATCAGGCTTGTACTCTATAGATTCTAAGCATATTGACAAAAATGATATCACAGAGTTTCGTTCGGTAAAGTATAATTGTGATAGCCTATGTTGAGATCAGCAACCTGCTTTGTCAATCGGAAACTCCTTTATCGATAACGCACTCAATGCACTGGTCTGCCAGGTATACTCGGTCATCTGCTTAGAACTACACCATCTATATCCTGCAACCATCTTAACAGATCACAGCATGTTGCAAATATGTCAATTTTGCCTGCGGCAGCAGAAAGCTCACCTGTTACAGTTTTCTATAAGGCGTATTTGAATGCAGTTTCTGAGTGAATGTTAATTTGTGCTGGCTTGAGAATGTTTAATTACAAGCGTTTATGAAGAACCAGAAGTTTTATTAAATTACAATTGCATGTGCATCTTCATAGCAATTACATCTTGCGCAACATCCTGAGCAGCGCAAGCAAAATCAGCAATGGCGTACGTACCAACTACCGAAACACTAGTGTGCTAAATTCCGAATACAAATGGAGGGAGAGGCAAGCATTACAAGTGCATGATTGTGTTAGTAGGAATTTAGGACAACGCACATAATCAAACATTAATTTAAACAAATAATAATTTCTTTTTTACATATAATGTACGTTTCTGTATAAAATTATTTTATATAATCAAACAGAAAGTAGAAAAAGGGGCTCCATTTCAAGTCGTTTACTTAGGTCCTGTCAATACCTGCCTTCGGCTTATAGGTTATTTATAAAAAGCCGCAAATGAGAGCAGATAACAGTTACTTAAATAACGCCACATCTCGTTTAATGTAGATGTTAATGTTTTATGTTATGTGTTTATTTTGTTGGGTTGGTGAAGGTACACTACTCGAACAGTGTAATACCTTTAACATAATTTTGTTCATTCATTAAGCTTTCTGCAGCTCCTCTTGTTATATCTATTTAATCGAGTCAAGTCCATTGTTTTTCCGATCACACCTTTGAAAACATTAAATTGCACTACAGCTTGGAAACTCACCCGATATTTGCTTACAATATTTTGATTATCGATTACTTGCAATTTTCCTTATTATATTTTAGGAAGTGGAGGTTAATGATGTGCCCTTGACAATACAAAACCAAAAATGTTTGGCTAGTAGATTCTCCATCGTCCAATCATGTCAAATGGAAAACTGTATGCCAAAAGTTCTGATTCATTTCCATGCATTCTTAACATTTTTCCTACGTTACAAATAAAAATATGTTGTTTGTACGTATTCTAAATCAATTCAAAAATATTTCTTGGTGTAACTTCCACTTTGGATGGATAGGGAAAAAGTGGGTCAGGATTTCAAAACAAATTTTACTATCAGGCGGGTTCTTCCATTTATGCTAGTGCTTTTACGTTTTTATCTTTAGACACGGGATACTCCAGCTTGCTTATCAATTTCAAGAATCCCGCGAAAGTAGAATACGTCCATGTCCGCAGCGGAACTTCCTATGTTACCGCTCAGACTGTCCCGTCGAAGCCCACTAGATCGGATGAATGTAATTTGGTCGATGTCGTATTTTCAAAGTCCTCCTTGCCAATGTTATTAATTACGGAAATTTTAATGTCGACATACCCTCATTTTAGACGGCTTTGTGCTCCAGGAGAATCAACAGTTCCACATCTGTCCATCGACGCATAAGGGCAACTCAGTTGAACTTACATGGACCGTTGAAGGGAAAAATGACTCTGTAAGTGTTGTAAGAAAAACGCAGGTCGAAGGTAGGCAAAATAGAACGTATTCTAACCGTATTGCTAGTGTCCATCTAATGTCTCGGATAAACTGACAGCAGATATTTATTTCATTACAGATGCTACCTATTGACATTCTGTTTTGTTTACTTAAACAGTGTGAACGTGAAACATTGTTTCTGCTTAACCCAGACTGCTTATTCAACGAGAACAAATTTCCAGCAGCTAAAGAGTGGTTGTTTTGATAATGTGCTGGCTGGAAGGCTATAATTACTCGCTTTTACAACGCGTGCAGTTGCTTACTTGAGTAGGTCGACAAGCATTACTTAAAGTATCTGGCAAACCTACGCAGTTGATGAGGATTTAAGTATCAGCTATTGCGTCCCATTTCGAACAATTTTGATGAATGCATGAAAGTTGGCAGATAGATAATGCGTACTTTGCTCACGTAAGGCCAGTTGTATTTCTCACATTGTACACAAATAGTTGATGCTCCTAAATAATGATCAAACTACCTTAGTCAACGTTTTATAGATCGCTATTACCCTAACATTTTACGCGTGTAGAGAAAGTTCCGTTTCCGGGCATTCTAATCCTCCCTCTTTGTAATCTCTGCTGTGTTAATAATGATGTAAATGACCTATCGTGTGATGCTTCAAAGCCTGTAGTGCACTACGGATGCACTGGATCTGATGGCTTCTACTGCCTGGACACTGCTGAACGGGATCCTAAAATGGAAGCTCAGTTGGAAAAAGAGAGATCGAATCCGAGCGAAGTAGACTTTAGGTCAAAAGAAAGTGTGTCGGCGCTGTTCTATTCGACGAAATGCAGTAAGTTCTTACTCGTTTATTCATGGGAAGGCAGAATGAGGATTGTATGATTATCATTCAAAATGTCCACTATTACTTTGAATACTCGCTTTCCACAAGCATGTCATGCCAGCATTAAGACACCGTACGGCAAAACTAATTATATTTGAAGAGGAAGTACAAGAGAATTTAAAAGGATAGAAAATGTTCCTTAGAATCAAGATGTCCACTGGGCGTCGTTGACACAGCAACCGACTGACTTCTTTTACAGTCTTTCAGAAAAATGCATGTTATCAGGAATACTACATTGTTTGTTTGGAAACAAGATACAAGGAAATAAACTACCGCACCCCTGCGAAGATTTGATTTTGATTTGATTTTTATAGTATGGACAAAAAACTACGTGCTCAGATCTAGCTTACATGTTATCGTACATTATCCAATTCTAGTTGTTGAGAAGACATCGAAGGGCTTTCGGCACAGGTTAAACGTAACACGCCCAAAAAACGAAAATGTGACCCACTACTTTTGTTATATCAGCCCCTCCAATGATCCTTACTTATCCTACACAATCGATTGGACAGGTATGTGCAATCTCTTGGGTTTGATGACGCTTTTTACCGTTATAAAGGCGCGGGGCATTACTTGTACTTCCACACTGCTGATGTGCATCTTCGCCAAATTTTTTGCTGAAATAACCCAACTACTCTCATCTTACATAGCACTTACTGCAGCACTTAAGCCAACTACAATTTATTTAAACGTGCATGTGATAAAATAAGATGCTGCAATTGAAAATAATTCTATCATAAAACTATTTGATGAACACAGAACGGTCTTGTGCCAAAGTTCCAGTGCTATGAGGTGTCGTTTTGACATTTAAATAAAATTATCCTTTGCATTTAATGCCAACATGTTTTTTTCTAAAAGGTGTCGGAAGTGATTAGTGAACCGACGATCAAATGAAAGACTGGTGGCATGCCATATTGTGCTTGAATGAAATGGACTCATTTTTTACCCGGCAGATGCGATAGTGAAGACGCTATCTCTTTTAGGTGAAATATTCAATGTTGTTTCCCCTTTTTTTGTGTCCCTGGCTTTGGGACTTTACATTTCACCTACGTCAGTGGTTTTTGAAATAATAAAGCTTTCATTTACGCATTCTCATTCCTAATTTATGAGCTTTTACAATGCATGGAAACCATTATAGGAAAAAATGCAGATACTTTAACTTATATCCTCCAAAATTTTAAAAATCGTCTCTAAATGTGCATTTTTTCAGTTATCAATCAAACTTGTATTTGTAAAATTGCTTAAGCATTTTCTATCGCGGTCATCCGCTTCGTAGTCATTAAAAGACATATGAACAAGGGTGTAATTTGTTGCGCCGATTCGCACTGGAGGCAGTTTGTACTATATTGCAAGTAAGCACTTGTAGTTCTACATCATTAATTTGTCACCAGAATAAATACCAAAGTACCATGCAAAGAACCATGCAAAAGTAATTGATTTGTATATGACGGGTAGATCAGCTAAACAAATATATATCAAACCATATTGACTGAAGCATTGCCTAACTAAAAAGGAAGGGGCTACACGCATGTGAGGCATATCATCGCATCATGGAGCCGCTAATTGGACAGCAGTCTGCAAACGCAGGATTTTCTTTACCTTGGCAAAAGGTCAACAATTTTAATGCGCAATCATTCCAAAAAGTAGTTCATTGCACGAGCAAAATATGCACAACTGGTTCTAAGGTGATGGAAGCAATTTCCGATCGGTCAGAGTGAACAGCATGTATGTGAATGAAAATCTACTGAGTGACGTCATTTGGCGTGAACACGTAAAACTGAGACCGGTCGATTACCTCTCGCGGAGTATCTGTATTGGAACCAACATTTATTCAGTCTACGCATGCACCCCCGTAAATCATAAGTCATTTAGAAAATGAGCTTACTGTACAAAAGTTGTAATCCAAAATGTGCATTGAACGGTCGTATCCATAAACAAAGTCTTAAGAGCACATTAAAAAAAGTGCGATTTAGTGGAAAAACCTATCTTTAAATAGAAAAACCTTAAGAATACTTTGCATTCTTCATAGGAAGGCGGCCCTTATACGACAGCGTGCAGTGGCAAACTTGCGATCAGTCGTTCCTTATAATGTTTTAAATTTATTTTCAATGCAGAAAACCTACTTGGATTATCTTTCAGAGGCCAAACGGCCATTTTTCAACCGATACGACATGGGGAATGCTCAGCAAAAACTACACTGTATTTGACTTGAATTTAAGTGTGCCTTCCCATACATCTGCACAAATGGCATTGTAATGGTAGCCACATAGAAATCCAGAATTTAGTAACTGGACACTGTTGTCAGCTGTTTTTGTCTTCTCAGGAGGGA